AAAGTTGCACATATTTTGCAGACATTTAACTTTCGGTTTGTTTATTCTCCCATCAATAAAATTCCGAGTTCCATACTCAAGGACCCCATTCCGGATATGAATTCTTGGGGTATTTATAAGATTCCTTGCCAGTGTGGTTTAATTTACATTGGCCAAACTAAGAGAGCCTTAAAATGTTGCGTCAAGGAACATGAGGCACATGTTAGAAAAAAGGAAAGACAGAAGTCTTCTGTTGCTTAGCATTGTTAGTCCGAAAATCACACTTTCAATTTTTCTGCTGCTAAAATTATTCAAAAAACATCTTCCATTGGAGAACTGGATTTTCTAGAGGCATTTCACATTCAAAAAAATCTTTCTGTTCTTGTTAACGATCCTAATTCCAATCCATCTTTGCTTTTGGCCTTTAAAGAAATTATGTTTTAGTTCTGGTTTCACCAACAGATGGCGCCATTTGCTTATTCTTGTCCAAGCTTTCTTATCTCATCTAATCATTATTTCCTATCTTGTTCATTTGTGGTTTTGCAGCTGAGGATGGTGGTTCGGTAAAAGCATCGAAACTAGTCCTGTGAAAATTTTGAAAATTAACGCGGATTTTTGTTGTTTGACTTCTGAATTAGTATTTATTCGGCATGTTATTGTGTCTTAATTATGGTTTCTCGTTTTGTGTCTGTCTCTAAATTTTTAGCAAATAAAAGTTCTTGACATATTTTTTCATCTTTAATGAACCTCACGTAAGACAACAACAATGCTTCATTGGTTGGTAAAGTGGACTCATCCAACTGAATTGAAAATTGACTAGTCTTCAGATGATTGCACAATGACTCTTCAATGTTTTCAGCCATTTCATCAACTCGTCTTTGCACAGAATTATTGTTCAAAGGAATTTTTCGAATTATATCTGCCGCCGGTTTATGGAGCACAGTAGTTATAACTTCTTTTATCACCGGCAAAATTAACGTTTCTCCGATGGTGTGTGGTTTACCTGTTTGAGCAATTAACAGAGAGATATTGTATGAAGCTTGAAGTCTGTCATCGTCTTGCTTAGCAGCCATCGAGAAAAGTTTCGATACACTTGGCTGAGCATTATGCTTCTTTTCTAGATCTTGAAAATAGGCTATATTTTTGCCCTTCGTATCTGGATGCATTTTATTTAAATGATCTTGAAGTCTTGAAGGCTTCATCGCTTCGTTTGAAAATGTTTTTGAACAAAGAAGGCACAAAGGCAAAGATGGGTTTGTCGAATTTTCTATGAATCTATATTTAATATATTCTGCACTGTATTGCCGTTTCTTCTTTTTTGCTTGTGAAATGGCTTTTTTTTTTTCTTTTTTTTTTTTTTTTCAAAAATATGTAAATAATGTGTTGAATTTAAATACTCGTTTAAAGATAGCGCGTGAAACCACTAATGAAAATATAAGAAAAATTACGAGCTTTTATATAGGATTTAAATACAGCAAGCACCAACAGGAATAAGACAAACATGCACAAACTCGTTTATCTCTTTATACGCTCAATCATACTGAGCAAGTTAGGACAAGTATCGATGAACCAGCCGATTGCTACCACGTACAATCCATTTTAGTATTGCAAAACCGCCACCTGTCGACGATTCTATTCTGAAAAAGGGCGATACGCTAAGATGGACTTTTTCCTCAGACCGGTTTTTCAGAAGCATGGAAGCACGCATGTTAAGTAAACATTTCTCTTTTGTCTCTACCCTATTTTGATGAACTCGAAGCAGACCTGACGCATGCGTAAAAGCGCTTGAAGGTTTCTCCAAACGAAAACGGACAGTACGTCTACGGAGCACAACATCATAAGTGCACCGGCTCCGCAGTTAGTCTTTTCCCCCAGAATGTTTGCCACATTTGGCGATTCATGCATTTACACAGCTGTATGCTTTTCGTCATTTTACAACATACGCGCATACGGCGTGTGGGCTATCCTATGAAATCTATGTTAAGTACAGTCAAAAGTCGTTAATTCGGACACCCATAATCCGGAATGATCTATAATCCGGACCTCAAAGCTACAAACTTTCTGCGCATGCGTCGCGTTCACGCATGCGCACAGGTGTTTAATAGTGCGCGTAAGACCTTTATGTCTGCGAATATGTTTGTGCGCATGCGCGTTTAATGTGTGACGGAGGTATAAGCTAAGCTAAAAATTCAGTTAATGTTGCAGATTGCGTTGTTCCTTAATCTTCGAATTGGATCCGGCTTATTATTTTTTGCAGACTGTTAGAGCAATTTCATGAAAGTAAGCTTGAACTTTCGATTATGTCAAATAAAATTTCCGATATATATTTACTAATATGTAATTTGTATCTACAAAGCGAAAGTATGTTTTGAAATCCGAAATCTGTTTATCAATTTCACACCGTGGATTGGAAGTTGATCTGTCAACACTATCCTTATCTTCAGAGCAGATGTTTTTATTTTATTTGGCTTATAATTCCTTACTAAGTCTAGTATTTCATCTCGATGTACTCCGTCTTTGATATGATTTAAATCAAGTTCCTCCTCATTATAATTCACTTCCAATAGTGAAGAAAGTGACCCAGAGGTTATTGAAAACGAAAACATTTCAATTGACAAATTAGTGGGTATTCTCAACACAGCAATTATAGGACTTGATCAGCGGAACTTTGTAACTAAACAAGAAATTATGTCTGTTTAATAGAATTAAAGAGAAAGTATTATCACATGAAACGAAGCAACTTACATTGAAAGAAATGTTTAATAAAGTAAACAAATAAATATTAAGCTTTTTCTTTTTGTAAATTTTGATACCCTTTAGATCATAATTGTTCTTTATTTCATAAATTACGGTTTCATATTTTTAATTTTGTAATTTCTGCATGCCATCTTACCAGATTTAAACTGATGATCTATAATCCGGAAAAATCGATAATCCGGAATCGCCGAAGTCCCGATGAGTCCGGATTAACGACTTTTGACTGTATTTTAAGTTTTTATACCATCATACAGGGTAGATATAAACTAAGTATTCGTTATTGTATAGTAGGTAGATTTTAATTCTAGTGAAATTTAAAATCTAAAGTAAATCAAATTACAAATCTACCATCGCCCCCCCTAACCCACGTCAACGCCCCCCCCCATTTTTTTCTGGGCCCCTTAACACCCCCCTCTAGGTCTCAAACACCCACAAGGGGGCATTATTGCCCACTTTGGAAAAGACTGGTCTAGATGCACAGTAATACACAGGAGACAAATCAGGGGATTTGGGTGGGATGCATTTAAATGGAATAGTTTCAATTCCGGTTTCATTTCTCATTTTTTTCAAAAATAGAGCAGTCGATTTAGAGCTATGGCTTGGAGCCTTAACCTGATGGAACATAACACAGTGAAGTTTGTTTGGATAAAGAGATGGAATTTCTTCTTTAAAAATTGGTGTTAAAACATATTTCTGATAGTAATCCAAATTAATTTTGACATATTTCTTTTATTTATTTATTTATTTATTTTCCATTATAAGAGAATCCAGTAATAGTCGTAAAACCTTTAGAAAAACTTTCTTCAGTTTCTCTGAACCAACATATTAAGTCTTTTTTTTTTCCTCTTTTTTGGTAGTAAATCAATCTTTTTCTATTACAATCATATAATTATATCCAAACATTATCAATTGTAACTATATGTTTCCATTTTTCACTTGCAAAATAATTTTCACACAGCAATCTGCACATGGTCTTATGCTGAGAAACATATTTCAGCATTAGGCAATGAACAATGTGTTTTTTGTTTTGATTAGCTTTAAATCAGATTTTATAATTTTGTTCACAGTTCCTGTACAGATATTTAAAGATTTTGCAATAGCTCTTTGAGGGAGTCGGCTGGATTAACCTTTAAAACATGAGATGCGATTTAACAAAAGCTGTACATACTTTTGTTGGATGTGCATTTTTTGCCTTTTTACCCAGTCAAATGTAAATTCCTTTCATATTAATTATGTCACTTATTTTGCATATAGAAATATTAAAGCTGTGCTTTTCACATCTTTTTTTAATAGTTGAATAAGAGTATTTCTCTTCAGACAGTGCAAAAATATAGCTTTCGACCCATTGTTTATTTTCCAGTGACATTTTAAAGAAAAGAATATTTTTATCCTGCAGACAATAATTAAACCTTATTCCAGTTTGATGCTAGTCTTGTTTGTATTTAAAAATTAATATTTAAATTCCTGGAGGAAATCAAAATTGTTACAAAAATGTGTGAACACCCTCTGTATGCTTGCATGGGATTCTTTGCTAAAAAGAAATAAAGAGGCTCCTTTTTCGAAACAGCTTATTACTGAATATGAGATGTGAATACTATACAATAATTTTTGAAAAAATAAATGAATAAATAAAAAGATCATGGGGTGAGCCTAAAGGATTTTCTTTAGTTTCATTGAGAGGAGTCTGCATCCCAAAAAAGGTATGTTTTGCATATGGTGGGATTACAAAAAAAAAAAAAAAAAATATATCCAGTACTACTACTTTTTCATGGCTCCTGCATTAAACTGCATGAAATCATAATACCGTACAAAGTTTCTGATCTGATTAACTAACTAAAGTATTATTATTATTATTGTAAAAGCATTTTTGCTAAATGATTTGATGAACTTTATTATCACTTCCTGTAATAGCCATTGTGCATATATTTTTTTTTTCTTAATGTATAACTTATATGCAATACTGTTCATATGGTCTTTTTTTTTTTTTTTTTTTTTTCAATGACTTAGTTTAATCATTATAAAAATTAGAATCATGGAGTGATTCATTTCATGGGAGCAGGAGTTGTGTCTATTTTAATTAACAAGTTTTTTATTGTAGTTAGTTCGTTTATTATTTAAAGAGCTGAATGTGAAAAGTTATAATTTTGCAAATAGAAACTTCATAAACAAAAATAATAACCAGTTAGAAAACTGAATGATTTTAACTAATTAACTTTTATGCTTTTTTAAATAAATAATGATATGTTTATTTACATATGTTTTAGAATGTTGCTGTTGAAAAATTGCAGACGCTTTTAGCTTTGATAGAATATTCTGAAGTATTCGCTGAAGTTGCTGCTCGTCGAATCAGTGGATCTAAAGGAAAATGGCTTGTAATTGCATCAATACAATTTATAAAGTCAGTTATTACTTTTATATGATTTTTAATTAATACTACAAAAAATTTATATTGACAATTTAAGTATTTGATTAATCTTCCAATTTCATATGAACTTTGTACTGCAACTCTGCCTATTTACATTTGCAAGTATCACACATTTTCCTGTTCTTCCCTTTATTTATAACAAGAAGAACCAGTATATTCAGAGTATATAATCATTCTCCAACCTTTTTCATTGTCATTTGTTTAAAGGCATTTTTATTTTCATTGTAGTAAACATACAGAGGATAATATTTAATATTTTTATGCATTTACATCTTATGTAATGTATGATTCACACATTTTTTAAAATCAGAATGCAGTAGCAAGCTGCAAAGAAATGCCTGTATGTGTAGTACTTCTGGATGAGATTTATGTAATTTAGGCTCAGAATAAACATTTAGATATTTTTTAGAATTATGGTGCATATTAATAATAACTACACTGCTGGCCATTAAAATTGCAACACCAGGAACAAATGATGTGACAAACGTCAAAAATCATGTGAAAAGAAGAAGTTGGGCTATACAAATGATTATTATTTCAGAGCGTTTAGATAACACAGAAGGGAGAAACGACATCTTGAGCACTGCATAAAAGAAAAGTTCCACTCATTCAGAAAGTGCTTTGTAAGGTTAGAGTTTGCTGAGGATATCATGTTAGGCTTCAAATAAGAAGACGAAATGCTTACCAGCAGGTTTTGAAATTTGTTAGAGTCAGGATTGTTACCTATTGAAAGTGTAGCTTATCGTTCTCTGATATCACCAGTCGCACTGGTCAACATCCAGCCACTGTCATGTGAATATGGAATCAATGAATTGCTGAGGTTCAAACTGAACAGCATGCAGGATCTCAATACCCTCTCATGAATAACATCATAGAGGACACACAAATTGTGAGGTCAGCCGTGCAAAACCGTATGACCACATCATGGACCATTTTTCAAGAAATGGGCATGTTTGCAGCACTCCTAGTAGCACTTTTAAGGTGCGTCAATGTTTGCAGCAGCATGGACTAACAGCAGGGTGACCATTACTTCAGCTTCTGTTGACAATGTAACATAGAGAGAGATGGCGACTCTGGTGGGCCAAACAACAAAGCTGGGTACAGGAGTGGCACAATGTCACCTTTTCAAATGAGTCCCGGTTCTGCGTGCAGTATTCTGATGGCCATATACATGTCTGGAGTGTTCGAGGTGACCACACGTTGCCTGCTTACATTTGATATTGGCATGGGGGCCCTGCACCTGTTGTGATGGTTTGGGAAGCCATTGGGCACACGACATGCACATCTCTAGTTCAGATTGATGGTAATTTGAACACAGATGGGTAAATTTCTGGAATCTTATGTCCAGTGGTTGTGCCCTATCTTCGAGGCTCCCGTTTGCCATGTTCAACAAGATAATGCAAGACTACATGTTGCATGTCATGTTCCTCGATACATAGGGTATTCGATTGCTGCCCTGGCCTGCATGAGATCTGTCACCCAAGACTGGCCCGCCACCCCTCACCATCTAATATGGTTGATGAAGCGTGACAATGACTTGAAGCAGCATGGAATGAGTTGCACATTTCTGTCATCCAAGCCGAGCTTGATTCCATGACTAATTGGATAAGGGCTGTTTTAGCTGCCAGCTATGGCAGCTGTTTCTACTAATTTCGCAACCCTGTAAACCTCCAAAATGCTTACAAATTTAATCATTTTGTCTTCATGCCATATTCTTTACATGCAATAAATATCTTTTTTGTATATACTTTCCTTCATGGTGTCGCAATTTTAATGGCCAGTAGTTTATTTAACAAAATGTGAACTTATTTCAAATGAAATATGAAAACCAATGCATATTTATGTGGGCTATGTACCTCATCATTTATACTATTAAAATCTGTATGCATCTGTTTGTGGCATTATCTCCTCCTGGAACAGTGGGAAGTTGAGCTTTGAGAGAAATACCCCCAGATTCTGAAAATTTGTGGGTCATTATTTCAATCATTATCATCTTCTAACAACTTAATTCAGCCAATATATTAACTAAAAACTCTGACAATGCTTATTTTTGCACTAATTTTTCTGAATGGCAACAGTCTTGCATGCTGGCAATAAAAATCTACTTTATTTCCAGAAGTATTGCCACTGCTCACTTTCAAATTGTACACTTTGCTAATAAAAATTTATAAGTTTTACAAAATATGAAATAAAAATAGCATTGCCAAATATTAAATATGTTATTATAATATAATGTCATATTCTGATGTTTTAAAAAGCACACAAATGCAAGTGATGTCATTGTATGTTGAAAGTTTTCCTGAATAACTAAATAGATGCTATTGGCAGAATTTTTATTTTAGATTAAGATAATTGACTTGGTATGTTATTGCAACATTAATTATTTTATTGATATTGAGAAAATGTTATATTACATTACATTGAAATTATAACTTCATACATATTAACCTGAAGTTTCAAAAGTTTTTGTTTCCTGGTTTGCCAATAAAAACATTATTTATGAATTGGTTGTAGCTTGCAAAGAATGAACTGATTTCATTCATACTGAAATGTTTTTTTATACATTTGCTTTTCAAGGGTACGTAGAACTTGTAAATTTTGCTTTGGCTGCAGCCCGCTAGTAAGTAATGAATAATTGGATATTGCATATGTTTAGCATTTTTGCCATTTTCCATTTAAATTTTTGATCATGTAATAGTTCTAGAATGTTATTGAAATGAAATGACATAAAAGTTGATTGTAGCTTTTATGTTCAAATAGTTACTATTCAGGACAATATCAAATGGTTAGAAAGACATAAGAATTTTTTTTCCCCTTCAATAATCTAATTGAAAATGTTTTTATTGGGAAGTTTCCTCTGAGTTGGCACTCAATTCCGTATGGATGTATACATATATCGCGGTTGGAAACCAGCTCAGTGGTTTTAACCAGTTGTGTTTCAATATTTTTGTTGAAATCATGAAGTGTTATATGATAAACATTTGTATTACATGATAAACATATTGGGCTCTATTTTGTATATGCCTGAAGAAATGCTACTTTGGTCACTAAATTTTTTAAAGAACACAGATGTGAGATTTGATGTCTGATCATGGATTATATTATAAACTTATTAGATGTAAAATATTTTTATTTGCTCTTTTTTATTACTTAAAGGAAGTTTTGAGAAAAATGAATGCAGCCTTATGTGAATAAACGGCGCTAAATTCTTGCAGAGGTCAAAATGGAATTTTTTGCCAAAGCAAGCTGAAACTAATGACCGAGGTAACCATAGCGGCACAGCATTAGGATTTAAATAGCATGACACATTAAGCTATGAACATCATCTGGAATAGTGGAGAATGAAAAAAGACTTCGTAAGGGTCTATCAGCTTTTTTCAAAGCAGAAAGAAAATACGTTTGGTGATCATCTTTTGGGGGGGGCTGTGTTGCGTTGGTAATATTTTTATTTATGTTTTATCTAGGAATTTTGATTTGCCTATTCAGTATCGAACATTATAAAATTTTTACGACATTAAAAGTAGTAGGAGTGGTAAAATGAAATTATAGCTCAATTATATTATAGTCAAATCGTATTATAGTAGTTTTTGCGTGAGAACTTAAGATGACCAACTCTCAAAATGATCAGTCTTTTTGAAAGTATACATAAAACAATGCTTTGGATATCATTTCTTTTAAACAATCATCTTCATAGAAAACAAAATCTTTTGCAAATGTTGAAGATTGTCTTAGAAAGAGGGTTTAATCCATTCTGTAAATTTCTTCAGTTTCTTTTCTTGAAAAAGTGAGAAGGAAACTTTAGCATTTAGTAACTGAAAGTGAGCAGAAAATTAATGCAATTTATAGCACTTAATAGAAGTTTTAAACTTACATAGTTAATTAATTAAGGTCATAAATAAATTAATCTTTCTTATATAAAGATTTACTGATAATTTTTCATGAAAAATATATTCTTAAAAAATTTAGAAGAAGGAAGGTGTGTAAGTGCATGAGATTGCCTCTATTAAAATTGTTTATTTAATTGTCATATTATTTTCTTTCATGTCTGTTAATATGATATTATTTTAATGAAAAGTATATGTTTTGGTTCTGTTTATTTTTAAAGTGCCGTTAGCATTTTCATGTACAGCGTGCAGTCAGTTATTTGGATGTCAATTTGTTAGTTATGTCATAAAATGAAAGTCAGGTTGGTAGTTATGATTCAAATTGTTTATTCCAATTTTGATGAAAATTGTTCCAAATGATATAATCCTAGAATTTTGTCTTACAAATAATAAAAATTCTTCAACATATGATTTAAACAAATTTCTAGATTTTTTCCAGTTAGAAGTAGAATTGCAAAAGAAAATTGGTTTTTTTATCTTTTCCATGGAAACGAAGGTGGAAATGGAGAGTATTAACAGACATCCGCTGGGTGCCAAAGCATAAGCAAATAATCATCACCACACCTGAATTTGTGGCAGTTGCCGTGTCAGATTAAAAGTGCATTTTTTTCCTTCCTCAGAATCACGTACTGTGTTCAGAGTTAATAAAAGAAAAATGTATTTGAAACAAAAAAATGATTAACATTTGGGACCTGCCTACTACAAAAGAGCATGCTGTTAAATATTTCCAAAGTTATGGAATCTTACCGGCCTCAAAAAAATATGTTAATGGCCACGAAATGATGCCTAAGGAAAATAATTTCTTTTACAGTATATCTCCTTAATAAAAAATAATGGAAATTTTTAATGAAAAATTAAATATAAATGGATGATAATATAATAAATTTGAAAGAAAAATAATAATAGAACTTTTTTATTGTATTTAATAATATTTATTGGTTGTGTTTTTTTTTTTTTTTTTTTTTTGGTTTGACACGATTGGAGGCTGTTTTTTGTGCCTTGCATCTAAACACATAAACACAGAATTTTGGAATACTGGCATCGGCAGACTAAAGTTTGTAAACTTTGCATAGATAAACATTTGGAAGC